TGTGCAAAAAAATCCCATATAATGTAATGTGTTGATCTTCCAATTTTACATTGATTCACAATTCTATTCAACCAAGCTGTTCATATTCACTTTTTGTGCTCCTTCACCATCACCCAAGATATGCTCTCACCTAGAGCTTTGTGACCTCACATTTTATAATGTGAATGTCCTTGAAGGACAGTTTACGAGGATAAAAAGGAACTGCACCCATAAAGAGGACTTTGAAGTACAGACGAATACTTGTAAATTGCTGAACATGTTTATACAGAAAGGATATGATAAAGAACAGTTAGAAAAAGATAGACAGGTAGTAAGAAATATGGATAGAGAAACATTATTAAGGGATAAAGGGAGTACAGATAAGAATTTGGGATTAGCAGTGGTATTAAATTACAGCACACAATACAAACAGGTAGAACGGATCATACGGAGACATTGGCAAATTCTCCAACAGGATAAGCACCTAAAAGAACATATTTCAATAAAACCTAGATTTATTTATAAGAAAGCACCAACACTACGTGATAAGTTGGTCCACAATGTAATAAATCCATCTAAAGATAGGAATTATACATTCTTTGAAGGTAAAGGCTTTTATGCCTTTGTGAATTGTTATAGTTGCATATGAACAACAAAAAATATAAAAAGCAAATCCTTTACTAATCTCTCTACAGGAAAAAAATATTTTATAAAAGGTTTTATATCGTGCCACACAAGAGGAGTGGTCTATGCGTTAACATGCCCATGTGGCTATTTTTACATGGGGGGAACAAATAGAGCATTAAAAGATCATATAAAAGAGCTTGTTTATAATATTAGCAGGGGGTACAAAAACATTATTTATCAAACCATTTTAGGATTAAACATAATAAGAATGATAAAGATTTCCAATTCTTGGGAATAGAAAACTATAAAAAAAAACACTGGAGGGGGAATAACATGATCAGAAAATTGAGTAAAAAAGAATCCTGGTGGATATATGAACTATGATCGCTTGTCCTCAAAGGTTTGAATGCAGAATTTGATTTGTTGTATTTTTTTAAATAATTTTTAGTTTTATAGTAAAGAGAAGGGTATATTATTGATATTATTCAATGGTTTTAATTTTTAATTTATGTAGTATAAGAAATAGGTGGTAATTGAGAATACTTTAGAGAATGGGAGAGGTTGCAAATAGTAATGAAGTTATCTGCATAATAATAGTGGGGGTGGAGTAAGTGAGCGCAATTATAATGGAGTGAAGTGATCTATGGCATAATGTCTCTTCTGGTTAGATTGGTTTTGGAACTTAGGCTCTAAAAAAATGGTTGTGGGTTTTAGAATATATAGGAGTGGAGCAGGTGACCAAATCATTCAAAATAGAAATGTGTGGCATAAATATCCCCCTGTGCTATAAGAGAGCACACTGATATGTGTTCAACAAAGCACAAGGAAGTTCAAGATCATAGTTTGACTTGTACCCACATTGCTGTCAGAAAACTACATGCAAAGAGGAAGTGAAACAAAAGGGTCAATAGCTATTTTATCCACTTGCCGACCCACCGCAATACAAAAACTGAGATGGGGAGGCTCCTACAGGCACAGTGACGTAGCTGTAATTCGCTGCTTGTTCCTGGGTTTCGGGCACACATGTGCATCTCTGCCCACTTCTCCCCTGTGCTTTGACACAGCAAGAGTTTGCCAGCAGATCCTGGCTGTTGGAAGGCAACATGTTTTTATATCAGACATTTATGGATTCTCACTGCCTGGTTATCAAATTTTGCCTGTTGAATGTCATCTTGTACTGTAAGTATAATAAGAGTTTACGACAGGGTGTGTGTAACAAAGGCTGCATACCAAAATCCTTAGTGTCCCTGTTCGAAGTTCACAGTCAAACTTATGGTAGGTTTGAATGTTCAACCGTGAACCGAACAGGGGGGTGTTCAGCCTATCACTATTAATGCACACTAATTGGTATTTTGTTTTTACCAAAGACATGTAGCAGAATACATTTTGGCTTAAATTTATGCAGAAATGTAATCTTTCTAATTTTGTTTTTCTAGCAGAAAGTAAAACATATTGTTTTTTTCTTTCAAAACTTTTTTCGTTTATATAACAAAAAATAAAAACCTAGTGGTGATAAAATACCACCAAAAGAAAGCTCAATTTGTGTGAAAAAAATTATATAAATTTTGTTTGGGTACAGCGTTGCATGAGCGCCCAATTGCCAGTTAAAATACCGCTATGCTGAATAGCAAAAAATGGCCTGGTCATGAAGTGGGTAAATTCTTTCACAGTTTAAGTGGTTATTTTATGAGTGCTAAGGACGAGATGTCACCAATTCTCCAACTTGAGAATGATATTGAATCCCTTTCTATAATGAGCATGGTGTTTAACCTCTTGGCGCTGGCCGAACGCAAATGTGCGGCCTCCCGGCATTTAGTCCTAGATGCCGAGTGGCCGCACATTTGCATGATTAAAAAAAGACATATGTGCTGAGAGTGCGCACCCTGCATGCTCCCAGTACACATGTCCGGTACTCACGGAAAGGTCCCGATCTCCTCTTTCGATCGGGACCTTTCCTGATCATGTGACCGCCGTGATGTCGTGTCACAGCGGTCACATGACTCTAAACCCCGCCCCGCCTCCCGGCTTCTGAAACCCTTAAAGGGCTGGGAGGCGCCAATGGGTTAAAATAATTATGAAGAATTGCAATAGGGTAGGAAATCAAGCAACGTTTGCAACAGAGATAGGTTTCCAAGCTGCATGTTTGATTTTTTTCCTGTGTGTTTTGCTTGTCAAATGTTTTTCTACAGTCTGCTACATACAAGTTAAAGATAATCATTTCAATAACACTCTCCTCCCAAAAAATTGTCAAAACATAAGAAAAGCTATTTACCCCCCTGATCTCCATAAGGATTGAACATGTAGGGGAACGTAAAAAGGAGCATTTGTTCCTAAACCAAATTTAGTTTTTATCACAATAAAACCTAAGAAAACAACATTAGCTTGTTCCATTTCTTAAAGCAAAAATTTGGGCTAAATGAATATTGACTAATTAGAAGAGTCATGTGTATTACTACTTGACTCATGGTCTCCTTTGTGTATTTCTTCCAGACCTGTGCAGTAGTCCATCATTAAACAACTTGCATCATGCCTCTATTCAGGAGTTTCCAGAAAGTCCCTGCAATAAAAACTGGTTACCCTTGTGTGGGGTCACTTGTCTTTTATTTACTCTACTCTTGTTTTCTGCAAGCAGCCTGAGAACCTACTAGGCCCCACCCACAGCTCTGCTCTCCGCATAGGCTATGTGTAGCCCAGTGATAATGTCATCAGTATGTTTAGAAGATAATATCTGGCTTTGTAAAGGAATTGGTTGCACAAACAGTGTTTTTTGATTATTTGTGACTACTAAGGAATACATTATAATTGAAGTTTATGTGTCTAGTATTAAGGGCCTATTCACAGTTAAAGTGCATGTGTATGCATAAATTGGCCTTATTTCCCAGAGATTGACAAATGCAGGGTTCATTTCAACATAGATTATCTCAATTCGAAATACACAGTGCAGAAAATCTATGCAGATGTCTTCAATTCTCATTTCTTAGTCATCAAAATATTTTTTCTTTACACATACTGTATAATGAATTTCCTTTAACTACATTCAAATAGTCAGATTATTCTATCTCAAAGTATTTATTGTTTTTTGTTGGCTTCATGTACTCTTGTGAAAGTTAGATCCAGTTTTTGTTTATTTTATGGTTTTACTTCTTGTAAATGTATTTTTTTATGTAGTCTTACCCTTGCCCCGAGCAGTAATACCAGTGTCAAAGCTTGTTTTCCATTTACTTAGGTGATAACTTTTGTTTGTCCTATAAATATTGAAGGTTATCTTTGTTGAATTTCATTCATTTCATCTAGATACCAGATTCATAGGTATGCCACTTTGATTTCATTTTTATGGGAATGTTAACTGATGGCTTACAAATTGTTTTAGTAGATAAGGAAACAAAAAAAAAAAAATCAAAAGGTACTTTTAATTTAATAATTTTAAGGAAATTAAAAAAAAATTAACTAATTACCATCACATTTACTGTTAATACTTTAAACTATTCAATTTCTTATTTTGGGTCAAGTTTTGCACTTTCAAAACTATACCTAATTTTTAGCACTCATCTTGCATTTAACTATGAAAATATTAACACAGTATACTATGTATGTAGTCACAGTTATAGAGAAAGCCCAGAAACAAGTATATGTAACAGCAAGGGTAGAAAAAGTATATCTATTTAAGTGACAAAGCAATTATTATATTTATATGTTCTGTAGAGGAAGAGTGAAAGTGGTTCTAAAGGCTTGTTTTTTTCTTCTTTAAAATAATGAACACATCATATTTCCCTGCACTGTGCAATGGTTATGCACACAGCAGCCCTGATCCTCCTCTTCTTGGGTCCCCCGCTAGAGCTTTTTGCCCCTCCACCTTGTCGAGTGCCCCTGGAGCAAGCTGCCTATTGGACATACATAACGTGTCTCAGTTCCACCCCCCACACCCTCCTCACTGGCTATGATTGACAGCAGCAAAAACCAATGGCTCCCGCTGCTGTGTCTTAGATAGTGAGGAGAGAGAGTCCCAGGACAACCGCTGCTCACGTGCACATCACTGGATCAGGATCAGACTCAGGTATATATTAGGGGGGCTGTGAGGGGAGCTGCACAGTGAAGGTTTTTTACCTTCATGCATATAATGTATGAAGGTAAAACATCTTCCACCTTTAGAACCACTTTAACTTGTTGCCGACCGCAGATAGCCCGAATGACGGCTGCACTGCGGCCGGCCAGTTCTGAGTGGACGTCATATGACGTCCCCCCAGAACGCGCTCTCCAGGGGGCACGCACCCGGCGATCTCCGTGATCGCTGTGTCCTACGGACACAGCTGATCACGTGATGTGGTAAAAGGCCAATCACAGCGGCCTTTTACCACCTGATCAGCGGTGTCCAATGACACGCTGATCAGAGGGAAATGCAAGTGCCGGTTCTCGGCTGCACTTTCCTCACGCTGTCAGATCGTGAGGAAAGTACTGCAGAGAACCGGCAGTTGTCAGAGCGGGGATCGGCACCGATCATCAGGGCACTGATGATCAGTGCCCTGATGATCGGTGCCCAGCAGTGCCACCCACAAGTTCCGCCCACCTGTGCCCTGCTGTGCGCCCACTAGCTCCGCCCACCTGTGCCCTGCAGTGCGCCCACTAGCTCCGCCCACCTGTGCCCAGCAGTGCACCCACCTGTGCCACTCTGCAATTTCACACACCTGTGCCCAGAAGTGCCACCTACCTGTGCCCAGCAGTGCCACCCACCTGTGCCCAACCACCTTTGCCCACCAGTGCCACCCACCTGTGCCCACCCACCAGTGCTGCCCACCAGTGCCACCCACCAGTGCAGCCCAGCAGTGCTGCCAGTCCGTGCCACCAGTCAGTGCCCAGCGGTTGTGCCAGTCAGTGCCGCCAGTCAGTGCCCAGCAGTGATGCCAGTCAGTGCCGTCTATCAGTACCCATCATTAGTGTCACCTATTAGTGCCGCCTATCCGTGACACCTCATTAGTGCTGTCTATCAGTGCCGGCTATCCGTGCCACCTCATTAGTCCTGCTTATCAGTGCCCTTTAGTGCTGCCTATCAGTGTGCCCATCAGTGCCGCCTATCAGTGCCCATCAGTGCTGCCTCATCAACGCACATCAGTGAAGGAGAAAAATTACCTGTTTGAAAAATTTTATAACAGAAACAAAGAAACTTTTTTTTTTTTTCAAATTTTTGGCAATTTTTTATTTATAGCGCAAAAAGTAAAGCGCCCAGTGGCGATTAAATACAACCAAAAGAAAGCTCTATTTGTGAGAAAAAAATTATCAAAATTTCATATGGGTACAATGTTGCATGACCGCGCAATTGTCAATCAAAGTGCGGCAGCGCTGAAAGCTGAAAATTGGCCTGGTAAATAAGGGGGTATAAGTGCCTGGTAGGCAAGTGGTTAAACCAGTCTTATTACCAAGAGTGAATAATAACTTAGTCTATGCATTAAAAACATAAAAATCTCTACGCTTAGGTATATACGCACAGTGTAGCTGCTATAACCAACAGAGCTTGTGATACTAAACATAAAAAAAGCATATGTATGCAGATGTCTCAAGGCTGGCACAGTGGAAGGACGCTGGCAGAGAAGAGCATCAAGCTGGGCATGGAGGCTGGTAGTGATGGAAATACATGACACAACTCTTTCTGCTAGGGAGCACTGAGCATTATCTATCTTTTGTCTGACTGTCACCATGGCTGGTTGTCTGGAGCAGTGGTGATCTATTGAGGGTTGGTTTCATTAACCCTACCAGTTCTGTTTGATCATTTAAATAAAGATGGCCATGGTTATCAGGTAAGCAGCAGATTTTTCTTGCTTCTTCACACGTGGGGATTGGAATCCATTAGAGCATTGGATTTGCAGCATGGTGTGGTGGCTAGAAGATTTACATTCCTGCTGGATTTCTTTACTTTATATATGCACTTTGGACATTTTTCTTCCTTTAGGATCTCAAGGACTTCTTACTGTGTATAAATAATTTTAAGACACTGTTTATTATTTTTCATAATTCTTATGCTGATTTGTTTTGAGTAAATGTAAACACGTGTGGCTTGTATATCATTTTATGTAATACTGATGTTATTTTATAGAGAGCTGCACTATTTTTTATAAATTAGTCTATGCATTGCACTATGTATCATGAAAAAAAGCTGTTATGTCCTAATAAAAGACAGACGCCAGATTTACCTATCCATTTCATAGGCTAGGTACCAGAGATATATTAGTTAAAATAAACCTCTTCCAAACAGACCTAAAATGCTAAATGCTAAGGTGTACAAATGGATAAAAATGGAGAACAAGCAAGGATCACTATTAAGTTTATCACATTATTTATTGATAAACTTTTAAAGAGGTAGTAACCTCCAATGCCAAAAAACGGGTGCCCTAGAGGGTTAATGCCATAATGTGATAGTATGCACCGCATACTAGCACATTATGGTAGACTCACCTTGTAAACAGAGCCCTCCAGTGGTGCACTATAACCGCTGCAGGTGCTTCCATCTTTGCTTGCGCTTCCTTCCAGGCTTGTGCTGTCTTGCTGTTTGAATGGTTGCGCTGACATCACGGGAGTCACAATCTCAGCACAGCGCTCTCTGCATTGACAGCACACTCAATGTTCCCTGAATGCAGAGTGCACTGCACTTGCAATTGCACTGGTGACATTACTGACTGCTGCCACTGTGAATATCTTTTAAACTAAAGACTGGGGCATCACAGGCTGGGATGGCACTGGCAATTATTTTTCTTGAATAAAGTGATTCTTTGATTAAGTATTGCACTTCCATTTTGCACCATCTGAACATCTCTCCTCTATGCCCTCACATATACTTACTGTATGCTGCTTTCAACATCCACCTCTAACTGAAATTGACACATTACTATCAATGTGCTTCATGATAACCTATGCTGCTTTCAAAATCTGCATCTCTCTCTATATTAATTTGATATTTAGTTTGTTCTTTTATTGTCTCCCCTAAATAATGAGCTAATCCTAATCCTTACAACTCTGCCCTCCTGCTCTTCTTGTAATATGCCTCTATGTCAAAATCCAACCCCTGTCCTGCCCCAACCTAGTCAATTCTGTCTAAAACACTTCATTATTATCTTCCCTGGATACACTGCCCCCCCCCTCACTACTCAAAGAATCTGCCCCAACTGCTACAACCTTGGCAAACAACACCAGAAGTCTCAACAAACAAAGCCACATGCATAAACATCTGTGGTGTATGACTAGCTCCCAGTAAGACTTCAACCAATATAAGCCTGCCCTCCAAAAACACAATTCTTGCCTCTACACTGAAAGTACAGACCTATTTTATCACTCTTATAACACCCTCTCATGCAGTTCCTGTCAATTATAACACCCACTAGCTCACTCACTGCCCAAGAGGTTGTAAATCACTTTGAAAATAAGATTGTGATGAGACCTCCAATGTACAGATATCTCCCCCACCCAGGGGCGGACTGACAACTCATGGGGCCCCCGGGCAATAGGGGATCATGGGGCCCCTGTGTCCTTGCCCAAACTCAAAAAAGCCTATGAAAAAGGTACCAGGGACATCTCATGGGGCCCCCTACTGACCCTGGGCCCTCGGGCAGTGCCCGAGTTTCCAAATGGTCAGTCTGCCCCTGCCCCCACCTAACATTCCATGTTCACCTGCACACGTAATATGTCCCTCATTTACCCATGCTACTATAAAAGAAGCCACTAAACTATTTTCTAATGCCCCTAACCACCTGCTCTCTGGACCCCATTCCCTCCCAAATATTATAGTCACCCTCTTGCTCTATGCTGCACTCTATAATTCACATCTTCAATCTCTCCCTCTTTACTAGTGTCCTCCCCAACCCTAAAAACATGCACTGGCCACTCCAATACTTAAAAAGTCCTCACTGGACCCTACTATCTCTTTGATTCCGTTTACCACCAAACCCCTTGAATGTCTATTCTACAACCACTTGAGCTGCTATCTTATAGAGGTTAACCTTTCTGATCCCCTTCAGTCTGGATTTTGCCCACAACACTTTACAGAAACTGCTCTCCTAAGATTCACAAATGCCTAACTAATGGCTAAAACCAATGGTCATTATTCTGTACTCTTACTCTTGGATCTCTGTGATGCCTTTGATACAATTGACCACCCCCTCCTTCTTAAAAAAAACTTGATTCTCTTAGTCTTTGTGACTGTATTCTTTGTTGGTTCTCATCTTACCTATCCCATCACACCTTCAGTGTCACCTACAACTCTAATACATCTTCTCATATTCATTTCTCATTTGGAGTCCCCCTTGGGACTGTCCTTGGACCTCTCTTATTGTCTACACCACCTGCAATACCATTTCTATGCTGATGACACCCAAATCTACTTGCATCTTTCTACCCCTCAGCTCACCCCATAAGTCTCCTCACACACTAATAATTTACTAAGAGGCATATCAGTATGGATGTCACACCACATCCTCAAACTCAATCTATCTAAAATTGAGCTTATAATATTTTTTCCTCCACATGCCCCTCCCCCTTACTTCACTGTCAAGATTGATGGCACTACTATCAGTCCATCCTTGCATGCTTGGATGCTAGGTGTAATCCTGGACTCTGAACTCTCCTTTTGGCTCCACATCAACTCACTGTCCAAATCTTTTTGCCTCAACCTCCTCACCATCTCCAAAATATGCTCCTTATTAACCAGCAACACCACAAAAATTCACTCCATGTTTTTTTCTTGCCTTGACTACTGCAACTCCTCACTGGATTACCTTTACATAGGTTATCCTCCCTCAGTCAATCTTGAATGCCGCTACGAGACTCATCCACCTTACCAACCATGCAGGGTCTAAAATTCAAAATACTAACAACATTTTATAAAAGATTTGAAAAAAGTGCAGCGCAATATAAAGAGCCTCTATGTAAGATCCAAGCTCCTTCATATACATATAAAATAATGATATTTGTTGCAAATGGGTGTGAAACATTTGTTAAGTGAGGTTGGATTTCCAAACATGGTCTTAAGTATAGTTGCACAAACAGTTTTTCTTAGGTTCATTAACTAACAAAGCCATCCACAACTATGGCCCCAGCTACATCCCTAACCTTGTCACAAAATACCAACCAAACCATTCTTTTTATTCCTCACAAAACTTCCTGCTATCTAGTTCCCTCTTCACCTCTTCCCATGCTTACATCTAGGGCTTCTCCAGAGCCTCTCCCATCCTTTGGAGATTCTTACCCCAATCTGTTTGACTACAGCCCTGGCCAAAAGTTTTGAGAATGACACAAATATTAATTTACCTGCAACAAAACATGTGCAGTCATCATTGCTTTGCACAAAAAGGGATTCACAGGCAAGGATATTGTTGCTGCTAAGATTGCAGCTAAATCAACCATTTATCGGATCATCAAGAACTTCAAGGAGAGAGGTTCAATTGTTGTGAAGAAGGCTTCATGGTGCCCAAGAAAGTCCAGCAAGCACCAGGACCATCTCCTAAAGTTAATTCAGCTGCGGGACTGGGGCACCACAAGTGCAGAGCTTGCTCAGGAATGGCAGCAGACATGTGTGAGTGCATCTGCATGTACAATGAGTCGAAGACTTGGAGGATGGCCTGGTGTCAAGAAGGGCAGCAAAAAAGTCATTTCTCTCCAGGAAAAACATCAGGGACAGACTAATATTCTGCAAAAGGTACAGGGATTGGACTGCTGAGGAATCCCTTTTCCAATTATTTATTTTGGGCACCTTGTCCGGAGAAGAAAACGTGAGCGCTACCATTGCTCCTGTGCC